CACTGCACTTACCTGACAGCTGAGCGCCTCGCTCGCCACAGCTGGTATCATAACCTTTCTCCAGCTGCAAGATAAATTCGTGAGCGTTAGCCATCTGCGCAGCCATCTTCATGTCCTCGTTGGTAGCCCATTCGCAACCATATAATATGTTATCCCGAATAGAGCAATCATAGAGCACAGGCTCTTGAGCTACCAGAGCTATCTTAATTGAGGGTTAAGAGTGTTGAAAAGTTGATTTGAAGTGCACTTTCAGTTGATAAATTAGCACTGGAAGACGATTAGCTAATGTACTTTGGCATCGCAGCTCCCAAAACAATAAATCATGATAATACGATTAACCTTTTCATGGTAATACTCGTGTTCAATTCTCTCAATAGGGATGCCATCGAGTGTGATGGAACCTTTTGAAGGTTTGTAGAATTGTTCCATAAGAGCGACAAGGGTAGACTTTCCACCGCCGCTTGCTCCAACAAATGCTGTGGTTGTACCAGCGTCAATTCTGAGATTGATATTCTGAAAATTCGATAGTGAGAATGGAGAAAACCTTCGAACAAAAAGAATGTCTTTCTATGTTTTAATAGATTTGGACCTTCAGCACTTGTTCAGTAGGCCGTGACGGATAGAAGAAATCCACTGATGCCATTTCGATAGTTCCAGAAATATCAGGCTTTTCAATACCTTTTCTTTCATGTTCCGAGACATTTTTTATGTGGACAAAGATCTAGAAAAAAAATCTTTTGCTTAGGCTTTGAATATTTTGAGTAGACGAGAAGTTACAAATTTACCTGTCCAGCTGCATAGAAAGCTTCCATTACTGAATTTGATGTCATGATAATCGACTAAAAGAAACAAACTATTTTCATTTCTGATTGGCACTTGGAATCATAAAGTTTACAAAGCATAAATTTAGTCTTGCTCTATAGTTTCTGCTGTTTTTCATTTTTTCCTCTTAGAATTTTTTACAGGAAAATTTTTATGGGCATAAACATTATTATAGTATGATTAAAGTTTCATTAAATTTTTACATAAAGAGCCTTTATGCTGTGAGTTGCGTTATGCTCTAAAGAGAAGACTTATGAGAAAGCTAGGAATTAAAGCTGTAAGAGCTCAAATATTCCTGAAAGTGAAGCAAATAATGCGTTTTTCATCTACCTACTATCAATGTCGTACAGTCTTGATATAGGCATGCTTGAAATCTAACAAACAATTAACAGCTTTGCAGCTGAACTATTATTTGTAATTTGATGGCTTTCCTCAGCGAATGTAAAAATCAATATACATAGTATATCTTACAAAATGAACGATTAAAAAGGACGTAGTTTTCAAAGAGAGGGTTTGTAAAGACGCGTTTCTTTGTAAAAGACATACACTTTATTTTTTTGAATATAAGCGTGCGTTTCTCATTCTTCAATAAAGACCAAAATCAGGAAACTTTCCGAATGTATTATTAAACAGTGTATAATCGTAAGCTAATAATTCATCAATTTCTTAATTCTTACTATCCTATGAAAATGAAGAGAGTTAGCGGAAGGGGTAAGCAAATTTGCAATTTGTGCCCAAACTTCCTAATTTCTCCCTCCCTATATCACACCTTCTTGTCATAAGTTGGTGGCACAGTTGACAAGAATTTTGGCGAATAATTTGTAGATGAGATTATATTTTATGTAACTTGATGTAACTCATGATATGTTTCTTTGTAATTGTTCATTATATGCATTGTAATTTTTAGATCATGTGTACTGAAAAATAACTTAAACTCACAAGAATCAAATGCGGAGGATTTCAATAGCTGTATTGAATGGTGACTTTGCAAACTTGAGTTTTGCTAATTTCGTGAAATATAATGTACAATACAAGGTATCATTAGGCACTCACGTTGATATTATTGTCGAGCCTTTCCATATATAGAAAATATGTCACTAAAGTGCCTGGTGACATTTTATCTGTAAAGAACGCTGTTAGGGCAGAAGATAGGATTTCTCCGCTCAGATCTACCTATTATCGTTAACCGTCTATGCTGTGACTTCTAACAATTGCATTTGTCTTATACTGGGAGAAAATTCATCAACTGCATACCTGTCAAGATTAGATGGCCACCATAAAGCAGCAGAACACCATCAGTGAGATTTTGTGCAATATCAATTGTCCAAGAATAACCAGCGCTACCGTAGGAACTATAACTTTTCCCTTTATTATTGGTGGTAATTAACCATAAATATGAAATAGTCTGTTAACATATATTTTAATTTTTGAGGGGTTTTTACTGTGGATGAGTTTGATGTAAGATCGCTGCTTTCTTTTCAAAATAAACGAATGATTCATAAGAATCTAGAAAATTCTGTACCTTTTCATTTCGAGGTGCAGTAATTTGTCAAGATTTTCGGAGAATCTTTTGACTTCACGCCTTTCACATCCGAAAGATCTGCAAGCAGCTTAACAGCATATGGTCCCTAACCCTGACCAGAAACAGTAGACATTACCTAACTGTTCTCATTGTTGACAGTACGTCAGAAGCTATCTCAGTAACTTTTGCAGACATTTTGCGTGATGATTCATAAAGTTTCTAGAAATAGAAGCAACTAAACCATTAATTTCAACATCTTGATGCTTACGTGGCTGAAATCCCCGTAAAGTTCACTTATGATATACATTGTCGGAAAGGTTATGCAAGCCAGCTGAAAATAGTTCAACATTCATAAACTTAATGATAATGACTTGGGTGATCCACCAGTGTCAATCTCCAAGAATAGATTAATACAAATGCTAGTGAACTGAATGTAAGGACAACATGTTGGATGAATGATGTCAAATCATAAGATAAAACTCCTGAGGCGGTGTCGCAATCTGTTGTCAGTTTTGAAACCAGTTCTCCTGAAAATCACCTAAATTCGTATAGATCTGCAGTGGTGTTTTAATTACCAGAAGAATTAGCATCGAAGAATGCGATATCCTTATTGACGAGAGATTTGAAAAGGTCTACTTTCATCTTGCGACCCACTAAGGATGTTGCTTGATTCAAGCATACACTAGACAGGCCTCCAAAGATATTGCTAAAATTTGGAAATTATTGAAATCGTTCGATTTCTAAATTGTATTCGAAACTTGTAACTACCTTATTATTCCAGAACCAAAGTGATACGCAATTGCCGTTAAAAGAGCATAATATCCTTTTTGTTTTGT